TGGATTGAGGGAGGAGGTATTCCATGAGCCCTGAACGGTGGGGGAGGTATTCTGTGGGACCTTATATGGAGGGAAGACGTATTCCATGCACCCTGGATGGAAGGAAGAGGTATTTCCTGGAACCCGGAATGGAGGCATGGGTATAACCTGGACCCTAGATGGAGGGAGGAGGTATTCCTTGGGACCCTGGATACAGGTAGGAGGTATTCTATGGACCCTGGGTGGAGGGAGGGCGATTCCGTGGGACCCTGGATGAAAGGAGGAGGTATTCCATGGACCTTAATGGGGGGGGGGGGGTATTCCCTGGGACCTTGATTGGAGGGAGGGTTATAACCTGGACCCTGGATGAAGGGAAAAGATATTTCCTAACCCTGGATGGAGGGAGGGGGTAGTACATGAGATTCTGGATGGAGGGAGGGGTGTTCCCAGGACCTTGGATGGACGGTGGGGCTATCTGTGGAACACTATTTAGAAGGAAATGGTTTCCCTGGGACCCTGGATGGAGTGAGGGTGTATTCCCTGCACTCTGGATAGAGGGAGGGGGCATACCGTGGCATCCTGTAAAATGTGAAATTAATCTTCCTCTTATAAGCCATGTGGTATATGGGGATGGAATGAGGTGGATTGTCTGGTGGGGCCATGGTGAATGTAGCTGCATGTTCATGTTTAAAGTATGTAACCTGGCCTTAAAATTATTGTATAATTTTATCTGTCCTTCTTCTTGCATTTTTTGGAATAGTCTGAGAAGGACAGGGGTTAGCTCTTCCTTAAATGTTTTGTAAAATGTCCTCTGACACTGTCCAGTCCAGGGCTTTTGTGTGCCAGGAGTTTTTTGATTACTGCTTCACTTTCACCAGCTGTCATTGTTCTCTTCAGGCTTTCTGCTTCTTCTTCATTCAGTGTTGGAAGGTTATATTTTTCTAGAAATTTGTCCATTTCACCCTGGTTTAGGAAGATAAGAGACTTAAATATAAGTCGCGACACCATAAAAGTTTTAAAGGAGAACATAGGCAGGAAACTCTCAGATATCCCATGCAGCAATATTTCCACCTATATGTCCCCTAGAACAAGGGGCATAAAGGAAATAAAAAAATGGGACTTCATCAAAAATAAGAAGCTTCTGCACGGCTAAAGAAAACATCAGCAAAATGAAAAGGGAACCAACCGTATGGGAAAATATATTTGCCAATGATACCTCGGACAAGGGTTTGATCTCCAAAATATGACAAGAACTCCCACGACTCTACTCCAGGAAGACAAATAATCCAATTAAAAAATGACCAAAGGTCCTGAACAGACACTTCTCCAAGGAGGACATACACAGGACCCAGAGATATATATAGAAGGATACTCATTATCACTAGCCATCAGAGAAATGCAGATCAAAACCACAATGAGGTACCACCTCACACCAGTCAGAATGACCATCATAAACAAATCAACAAACAACAAGTACTGGCGAGGCTGTGGAGAAAAGGGAGCCCTAGTCCACTCTTGGTGAGAATGCAGGCTGGAGCAGCTGCTGTGGAAAACACTTTGGAATTTCCTCAGAAAGCTAAAAATGGAACTGCCTTTTGACCCAGCAATTCCACTGCTGGGATTATACCCTAAGAACCCTGAGATACCAATTCAAAAGAACCTATGCACCCCAATGTTTATAGCAGCACAATTTACAGTAGCAAAGTGTTGGAAGCAACCTAAGTGCCCATCAATAAATGAGTGGATCAAAAAACTATGGTACACTTACACAATGGAATATTACGCAGCTGAAAGAAAGAATGAACTACTACCCTTCGCTACAGCATGGATGGAACTGGAGAGCTTTATGCTAAGCGAAATAAGCCAGGCGGTGAAAGACAAATACCAAATGATCTCACCTATAAGTGGAACCTAATCAACAAAACCAGCAAGAAAAATACACCTAGCAACACTGAAAGAAAAAACTAACCAACAGTAACAAGAGAGGAGGTGGGAGGGGGGTAACGAGGAAAAGAAGGAGAAAGGTCAAGTCTAGGAACACGTATAAAGGACCCATGGACAAAGCCAAAGTGGGGACGGATTTAGGGTGGGAGGTGGGGGTGCGTGAGGCAGGGGAAAGTGGTGCCAGGTAAACGGAGATAAATGTATTTGAACAATAAAAAAATTAAAAATCAAAAATCTTCCAAAAAACAAAAGCCCTGGACCCGGTGGCTTCACAGGTGAATTTTAGCAAACATTCCAAGAACTAACACCTCTCCTTCTCATACTATTCAAAAAAAAAATTCAAGAGGAGGGAAGACTGCCAAGCTCATTTTATGAGGCTACTTATGGTAAATATTTCTTCTTGAGTGAACATTGGTGACTACTGTATACAAGATGGCAGTGTAGATTTGTTTTAGTAACATTTTTTTTTGGGAAACGCTCTGTCTGGTTTCAGGAACTATAACCCCGCCGAGAGGAGGGAGGGCCCCAAGGCTGGAAATAATCAAGGAGGCCTTGGGAAAACAGGCCACTGAGGAGATATAACCTGTCCCCCCTGGCAGGGGCATAGATCCTGCCTCTCTGCTTTGCCACGGATGATCGGTGATCAATGATGGGTAAATTATCTCAAGCTGAGGTATACAATTTAAGACATATGCCAATCGAATATTGGCAGCAGACAAGAAATTGGGGGACATGGAGAAAGGGGAAAAAGGTCCGCACCCCTTGGCTCAGCTTGGACATGGCCAGAGTCCTCATTCTATCTGAAAGCAGTCTCCTTGTCTCTTGGTGGCTCCCTCCCCTCACCTGGCTCAGGCTCAAAACAATACCAGTGTCAGTCCTCAACCAGATCTGGTGGTTCCCAGGGAAATCGTGCCTAAAAGTAAATTCTTTAAAGTGTGCTTTGTTCTTCCCTCAGAAGCTATAGCCAGCTCATGCTGAGAAGAAAATTTACATTAGTCACAGACCCTAATCCTATACCCTTAGGCACTCTTGTGTTTACTACACTCTCATGTTTAGTAGTCTCTCTTGTTTCCTAGTCTCTTCTCGGACCCATGTAAATTGGTGTGTTCCTGCCACTTGTTTGCTTCAGAATATCACCTATTCTCTGTAAACTTTAATATACTGATGTAATTAGATAACCTGTGCATTCTTGTTACCTAGCCCCACTGATAACCTTTTCAGTAAGTCTTTCAACAAAGGGACTCTGGGCCTTCCCCACTCGAGGGATGTGCCATGTCCCCTCTCTTGGCAGACAGAGAAGTGTTTGCAACGACTCGTGTTTATTCCCCCCCATCCATGACAACCCTGGGACAGGCTCTGCCAGATTCAAGGTCCCCACTCCCATCTCAGCTGGCCCCAGATGATAACTCTCAGATCCTGGCTACACTCCCCATGACATGCTCCGTTACCCCGTGCTACAATTTTTATTTAGAATTCTTGTATCTAAGTTCATACGTAGATTAACCTATAGTGTAATTTCAACTAAATTGTTGAGTTTACTGGCATAAAGTTGTTCATTCTTAATGAGTACATTCCTAACCACAAATGTGTCCATTTTTCCCCACACCAACCAATTCTCCAACTTTCCAGATACCACCTGGCAGTCCTGAAGTTCAACTACGACACTAACTACCTGGAGTTAGTACAGAACCCACAGGTTAAGCACTCAGTCCCATAACATTGCCCCTCATCCTCCGCCTGAGGGCGCTACTTGCAAGTCTAGGCTCTCAGCTGTGCTTCTGACCAGCGGGCTTTAAACTGGAGGTTCCTGTGACCTCCCCCCTCAAGTCTGACTATTTTCTGGAATGGCTCACGGATGATACTCAGGAAAACAGTTCGCTTACTAGATTACCAGTTTATCCTAACAGGAAACAACCTAGGGTCAACCAGGAGGAAGAGATGCAAGGGGCAAGGTATGGGGAGAAGGAGCATGGGGCTTCCGTGACCGCTCTAGTTGCATGGCCCTCACAGCACCCCTGTGTGCTCACCAACCCGGATGCTTTCTGAACCCCTTCCATCAGGGTTTTAATGGAGGTCCCATTATGATAGGTGTGTTTAATTAAATTATTGGCCATTAGCGATTAAGTCCACCTCCAGCCCCTCTCCTCTCCCCAGACGTGGGATGAAGGATGAAAGCCCCAACCCTCTAATAACGCAGTTGGTTCCCCTGGCAACCAGCCCTCCATCCTTAGGTGATTCCCAAAAGTCACCTCATCATCGTAAACTCATGTATGGCTGAAAGAAGTTTGTTTTGAATAGCAAGAGTCTCCTTTCACCTTTATCACTCCAGAGGCCTTTCAAAAGCTGGTGATAGAGATCAGGTATTGTAACAAAATATGCTTCTATCACTCATATCACTTCGAAAAATACAAGGGTTTTAGGACCTCTGGCCAGGAGCCGTCTGAGGGGAGGTGGGTGCGGGTATGGATTAAAGAAGGTGAAGGGGGTAGCCAAAGAATGTATATGCATGAGACTTGGACCCCACAAAGGTATGGGGATGGCTTAAGGGTGTTGGGGGCTGCATGGTGGCAGAAAAGGGGGAGAACGTGGGGAGAACTGTAATAGCATAAATAATAAGAAATAAAGAAAAAATATTAAATGCTGGGTGCTCAGAACGGACTCTCCTTGCCCTCACCCAGGTTGTGATGGAACCTGGAACGTGTTGATGGCGTTCTGCACACTTGGGCCCTTCTGATGCCCCGCTTCCGCTCTGCCCCCGCTAGGAGATCCTCCTCAATCCCTCCGCTCACCCCTCCACACCTCCCGTGTCCCCCCTTTCCCTCCTCTTCCCCCCTCTCCCCCCTCTCCGCTCTCCCCAACCCTCGCGAGTAGTGCTCCCTCCTTCCGTCTTCCGGTCCTGTCTTCCATCTTCCATCTTCCACCTTCCGGTGCTATCTGAGAGCCAACCGCCAGCCACCTGTGGCCTAGCGCCTGAGCACGCTTGTGTCCGCCCACACGAGTAGCCCACCGTGGGGACATTCCCAGGTTCCCACCACCATCGCTGTTGACTCAGCCTCCAGCTACCTTCCTTGACCACCATGGGGATGATCCGGGGCTCGCGAAGCCGCCGCCTTCACCCACGCCGCTGCCCGCCCCGCAGCCCGCCGCTCAGCCCTCGTCATGGCGCTTTGTTGGCCTTCTTGGCCGGAGGGCCAGACCCGGTAGCCCTGCTGCCTCTACTTCCAGCCCTGGTTCCTGTGCCTCCTGTGGTGGGGACCCCGCCACCCCCACCACCGCCGCCGCCGCCGCCGCCGCCACCGCCCTCAGAAGTGCGTCAGAATTACCACCCAGAATGCGAAGCTGCCCTCAACAAGCACATCAACCTGGAGCTGCATGCCTCCTACGTGTACCTGTCCATGGCCTTCTACTTCGACCGCCAGGAAGTGGCCTTGAAGCACTTCGCTACCTTCTTCTTGTGGCAGTGGAGGGAGGAATGGGAGCAAGCCCAGACGCTGATGCGGCTGCAGAACCAGCGAGGGGGTCGCATCCACCTGGGCGATATCCGGAGGCCTGACCGAAGCCACTGGGAGAGCGGCCAGAGGGCCATAAAAATCGCCTTGCAAATGGAGAGAATGGTGAACCAGAGCCTGCTCAATCTATTCCACCTGGCTAGAAGCAAGAATGACGCCCACCTGTGTGATTTCCTGGAGCGTCACCACTTGCGCCAGGATGTGAAGTTCATCAGAAACTTGGCAGAAAGTGTCGTCAACCTGCGCAAGCTAGGGGCCCCGGAATCTAGCCTGGCAGAGTACCTCTTTGGCCATCTCACCCTCGGTGACAGCACGGAGAACTGAGCCTGGACTGCCTTCCCAATAGCCACGGGGTCACTTCCCCTGGTCACCGTGCCCAGCGAGCTTATTGCCATATAGCCCGTGCAAAACGCTCACTTACGTTTTTAGGTTCCAGTTTTATCATTTTTTCTAGTAAAGTTATTGGTTGGTAAATAAGTAAAGGTCTTTCATTGACTTGTGTGTGCAAAACCCTTGCCTTTTAGGTTTTAAAACACTTATGTAGGAGTCTCTTCCCTCACCTATGCCCCATCACGTGCAGGCTGGGGTCTCCAAGGGTGGGGGGAGGGGGTTTTCCGTGGGACTCTGGATGGAAGGACGGGGTATTCCCAGGACCCTGGAGGGAGGGTGGGGCTATTTTGTGGGACCCTGGATGGAGGGAGGTGGTATCCCTGGGACCCTGGATGGAGGGAGGGGGTATTCCCTGGACCCTGGTAAAGGAATAATTAATCTTCCCCTTATAAATCCTGTGGTATATGGGGGTGGGGTGAGGTGGATGGTCTGGGTCTATGGTACATATAGATGAATGTTCATGCTAAAAGTACAATAGCTGGCCTTAAAATTACTGGTGTGCTTGCCCCTGGGAAAAGACGGAAGAGAATGAAATTGGGCAGGAATTAAAAGGTTCTTATATTTTACCTGAAATTTTTTAGCTTACTAAAATATGCAAACATTAATGTTTGTTAACAATATCTGGGTAGCAAGATGAAGACCCCAGCAGCCATCTTGGCATAGTACCTCTTTGACAAACTCACCCTGAGCAATAGCAATGATAGCTGAGCCTTAGGTTGGCTTTCCCAGAGACACGGGAGTGACTTCCCATGGTCACCGTGCCGGACAGGCATATTGCCCTTACAAAACATTCAAACATAGTTTTTGCTTCCATTGTACTTTTTCTCCCATTAAGGTAACATGGTACTCCAAACCCCAAATTATCTCCATAGGACTGAAAAATACAAGGTCAAGGCTGAAGGTCAAATTTCAGATATTGAATGTTAAGTAGAATAAATTCCCCTGCATGTTATCAGTCACTCAGTGTTGTGGGGAATGGAGGGTGGGGGAGAGCTGAAGCTGGGAGACCAGGTAAGAGACCTTGCAGCTGGTCCAGGTGAAAAACAATGGGCGTTGAACTACTGTGGTGACTGAGAAGATGAAGAGATGTGGACAAATTCCAGATGGATTTGGATGAGCTGATAAACTTTGTTTATGGACCAGAGGTGAAGAGTGAGAAATGAGGAAAGTAATCTAGGTTCTGGTGTTTAGAATTGAATACCTGGGTTGGTGGTAGCGCTATTTATTACTTTGGGGACTTTTGGCCAGGGGCATATCTGGGGTAGACGGGTGGGAATGCCATATCATGTAAAATCTGAGGTGCCCATTAGATGTCCCAGTGGAAATGTCATGCAGATAACTCTGAGGCCAAGGAGCTCTTTATAGACTCGGTGCTCCAAGTTTGTATTGGGGGCTGGGTGTGTAGGCACCCTTGGCCTAGCAAGTAAAAAGACGTCATACACACAAAAAGAAAGCATGTGTTCAACATAAACTGTATTATTTACTAACTCTAGGCACAATGACACACTTATCAATTAGGGAAGGCGGGAACACTGCCCAAATCAAAGTTCCCACATACCAGGCCCAAGGTCCAACCGTGCAAGGAGGCCTTTCTAAAGACAGCAGTGTCAGTCCTGCTATGTTGACTCATTCATGCACTGTAGGTGTTATTTACAGAAAATGGGCATTTATCACCTACCCACTAGGAGGATGGGCCTGATACAATAATACCTGTACTTAAGGTGTGTAAGTAGCAAAAGAAAATATTATGAACAACTATATGCCACCAAATTGGACAATCTGGAAGAAACAAATAAATTTCTAGAAACATACAGTTTTCCAAAAGTGAATCAAGAAGAAACTGAGAAACTGAACAGATGGCTTACAACTAATGAAATTGAAGCAGTTATTTAAAAACAACAACAACAACAACAACAAACTCCCCCCAAAACAAAAGTCTTGGACTGGATGGCTTCACAGGTGAATTTTAGCAAAGATTCCAAGAACTAACACCTCTCCTTCTCATACTATTCAAAAAATATTCAAGAGGAGGGACAACTGCCAAACTCATTTTATGAGGCTACTTATGGTAAATATTTCTTCTTGAGCAAATGTTGGTGACTACATGTATAAAACACGGTCATGTAGATTTGTTTTAGTAACTAAATCTAAAGTGTAATTTAGAATTTTTGTATCTAAGTTCATACATAGATTAACCTATAGTGTAATTTCAACTAAATTGTTGAGTTTACTGGCATAAAGTTGTTCATTCTTAATGAGTACATTCCTAACCACAAATGTATCCATTTTTCCCCACACCAACCAATTCTCCAACTTTCCAGATACCACCTGGCAGTCCTGAAGTTCAACTACGACACTAACTACCTGGAGTTAGTACAGAACCCACAGGTTAAGCACTCAGTCCCATAACATTGCCCCTCATCCTCCGCCTGAGGGCGCTACTTGCAAGTCTAGGCTCTCAGCTGTGCTTCTGACCAGCGGGCTTTAAACTGGAGGTTCCTGTGACCTCCCCCCTCAAGTCTGACTATTTTCTGGAATGGCTCACGGATGATACTCAGGAAAACAGTTCGCTTACTAGATTACCAGTTTATCCTAACAGGAAACAACCTAGGGTCAACCAGGAGGAAGAGATGCAAGGGGCAAGGTATGGGGAGAAGGAGTATGGGGCTTCCGTGACCGCTCTAGTTGCATGGCCCTCACAGCACCCCTGTGTGCTCACCAACCCGGATGCTTTCTGAACCCCTTCCATCAGGGTTTTAATGGAGGTCCCATTATGATAGGTGTGTTTAATTAAATTATTGGCCATTAGCGATTAAGTCCACCTCCAGCCCCTCTCCTCTCCCCAGACGTGGGATGAAGGATGAAAGCCCCAACCCTCTAATAACGCAGTTGGTTCCCCTGGCAACCAGCCCTCCATCCTTAGGTGATTCCCAAAAGTCACCTCATCATCGTAAACTCATGTATGGCTGAAAGGAGTTTGTTTTGAATAGCAAGAGTCTCCTTTCACCTTTATCACTCCAGAGGCCTTTCAAAAGCTGGTGATAGAGATCAGGTATTGTAACAAAATATGCTTCTATCACTCATATCACTTTGAAAATTAGAAGGGTTTTAGGACTTTTGGCCAGGAGCTTGGGATGAAAACCAAAACATATATTTCCTATAATACAATATCACAATTATATTTCCTCATCATCCTTTGAAGAAGTGTATGATACATAATGATGTCTTCTTTCTCATTCTTGAGACTGGTCATTTGCGTTTTTTTCTCCTCTCTTTTCCCTTTCTCTCCCTTCTCCCCCTGCTTCTCCTCCTCCTCCTGCTTTTCTTCCTCTTCCTGCTTCTCCTCCTCCTCCTTCTTTTCCTGTCTTTGGTTAGCCTGTCTAGAGATTTATGCTTTTGTTTGTTCAATTTTCTCAAAGAAACTTTTGATTCATTGATCTGATACTTTTCTTGGTTTTTTTATGTTTTCTATTTCACTATTTTCTGCTCATATCTTTATAATTTCCTTCTTTCTGCTTGACTTGGGCTTATTTTATTATTTTTCTACTTTTTAAGGTTAAAAGTTAGATAATGAATTTGAGAACCTTTCTTCTTTTCTAATATAGGAATTCCATGATATAAATTAACATGCACATACTGATTTAACCTACAAATGCTGATAGGCTGAGTTTTTATTTACATTCAATTCCAAATAATTTCTTTTTCAACACTTGGATTGTTTGAAATGTATTATTAGCTTCCAGATATTTGAGTGTTTTTCAGATATCTTTATGTAATTATTTCTAATCCAATTTCATTGTGTTCAGAGAAATTTCTTTCATGATATGAATAATGTTATATTTATTGAACGCTGTATGGTAGCTTAGAATATGGACTATCTTGGTAAATGTTCTATGTGCACTTGAAAAAAATGTGCTATTAAGGAATATGTTTGTAAAGTTTCTTCACTCTGACTCTATGATTTTACTTAACATGAATATAATTTCTTCTTTTTAATTCTTTTTCTTCTCCTGATTATAATAAATAATACCCAATGTTGCCTGCAAAGAGGACTTTGTGGTTTCTGAAATCTGTGAACGTATTGGGCACTCAAAAAGTAGGTATTTTAATGCTTAAATACTTAAAAAATGATAATTGAATCACGTTGGTAAACTAAACACAAACATTATCTGCACACACACACACACACACACACACACACGAAAGAATGCCATTAGGAGACCAGAAATTGTGAGGGATTCTTGAAAGACAGGAAAAGCAAAGGCTACCAGATTATTTAATTCAGAGAATTTGAACATCTGCAATAGAAAACCTGATCACATTCAGAGAAACTCTAAAGAGAGAGTAAATGAAATTGCAGCACTGTAGAGGGTCCTTGGCCAACTGCGAGACTGAAGAGCTACTCTGTGAGCGTCAGATCTGTTTTACCCTGCCCAGCTCTAACTCTCCCCGAGCCCTACTTACACAGGGCAGTAAGCACCTGTGGCATGTGACCCCTTTAATGTCCCCAAACTACACTCCAAAGACAGTGAATGAGCTGGAGCTGATTGCACACCTGCAGAGGAGGGAAACAATAGGACACATCTACTGAGAAGTAAAAAACACTAGTCTTCCAATGCCAGAAATATGTTTATTTTGGCAACAAGAAATGTCCCTATCCTACCTGTAAGCCATGTCATGTATGCTCAAAGGAGAAAGCCACTGAGTAATTGACACACTCCAGCCTCCCATTTCCAGCAGAAGCCCAGTAGTGAAATAGACATCACAACTCTAGATGAGATCCATGCTATTCACCTAGGTTGATCAAGTAAGTCCTTTGTCCCTAAATATAAATGAATAAAGTTTCGCCCAATATATGAAGAATGTAAAAGAAAAAAAGACAAGGAATACACAGAACTATTTCCGGGCAGGGGGAACTCAGGTATAATACAGGA